AATGACCTAATAAGTGGAAGAATTTGGAAAAGGAGAAAAACGAGTTAATAAAACGTATTTTTAAGTGTCAATTAACAACTTTGCTGGATCTTCAACGCGTGGAAAAATAAGGGCCGTTGGATTAAATCATTGAGCCTCTTTCATATAAAAGGAAAAATGTCTCTATGGTTTCTGCTCTCTTTCATTTTTCATTCGAGCAGCTTTCTTCGAGTGTTTTTTGGTTTTCTCTGTAATTTTGATTTCTCTCTTCGATCTTGTGTAGTGGTTGAGAGAGTGAGATTTATGAACTCTTGTGTGAGTTCTTGATGTTGAGAAGTGGCAGTGTGCCATTGTTTTGAGTCGGTGAACTGTGTGTTCCTTTTTCTGTAACTCGAAGTACTGCTGTGTTTTGGCCGATGATTTTAGTGGATTCGAGCTTATTCCTTCATAGATGCTCAACGGGAACTAGGTGATCTAACCAATCGCTGAACCTCGGGGCTTCGAACGAAAAATAGTTTGTGTTCTTTACTATTTCGTTCAGATCTATAAATCTTGATTTTAGCTTTGCGATTTTTCGATGTTTTCTAAACGTTCCTAGGTACCTACAATACCTTTATGTGTGAAAGTTCGATGGCTGATTGAAGTTTGCAATGTCTTTTGTTTAAAATCCATAATTTTAAAGTTGTTTTGTGTTCGAATTGGTGCTATTTGGATAACATTTTCACTTTTATTTTTTATTTCATGAAATTGATATTAGTTTGCAAAATAAAAATATTTCATTAATACTCTCACAACATTGTTTAGCAACAAATTTGTCCTTAATTAAATTGTGGAACATTTTCTTAGAGAAATTTTATATCAATCAATGTTAGTGATGGTTCTTACAATGTCCAATTCATCCATAGTTATCGGAATAGGATCGATGACTTCAATTTATGATGATTAGAGTACGGTCGACCGCTTCAATTTTCGGATCAAGACATACTTAACATCGTGTGAGCTGTTATTGATTTTATCTAGCAAGTGTACAAATTGTCGCAAGTAATAAAGTGATGCATAGAGTATCATTAATTTCCACGAGGTTCGTCCTTGACTGTTATGAATCACCATTTAGAGTGCCTGCAATGAATGATATTATACATCTGTGCAAAGAATTCCGAAAAACCAAATTCATGTCTGAAGTCGTGTTAAGGGATATAAATTTCACATCGGTTAAATACCGAAATATAGAACAATTTATAAAATTTTGAGCTACTCCGCTTAACAAGGTTGACCTTTTAAGATGGAACCTCAAATCTTAACATGGTATCATAATTCATTAAGCTCCAACGAGTTATTCGTTCCAATTAAGACTTAATAAATGAGCATACGAATTTCAATATTGGTCTGCTTAAACAAGTCACCATCTTAAGAGGGCATGTTAAGAGATATAAATCTCACATCGGTTAAATATTGAAATATAGACCAACCTCATAAATGGATTGCATAACATTGGAGCAAAGATGAATAATATCTAAGCTCATAAACTAAATTCGTGTTCGAAGTGGATATTACAATAAATATGACTTTTTTTTACCTCGTAAATCAAATTCATGTTCGAAGTGGATATCTAAGCTCCCCGGAGGACAGTTGTAGGAATTCTGCATGAACCCACAACTTCAAATCAAATCTATCACACATAAAATTAGTTAAAATAATGTTCATTATGTAAGTATTATGCCTAGGTCCAATCAATTTTGGACATAAATACTTTTGATATATAATAATGCAATTTAATGACAGATCTATTATTTAATTAATAGACAATTAAATAAATAATAGAGTCTGTAGACTCAAATCTTCGTAATTTGTTAATTATAAGGAGTTGTGTTTGTGAGATACAAATTACATCTGATTGAATCTTAAATCGTCCGTGGTCGTAAGTAATAACAAGATACGAATATCGTTATTACGGATAGACCATCACGTGTGGCATTTCTTACTTATGAAGTAAGTAGCTAATCTCACAAGTTAAAGTGTGGTGACACTTAAATGAACACGTGGATGTTTTGTTATAGAACAAAATATTGGAGACCCGCTGAAAGATTCCACATTGATAACTATCTGAGTGTCAGTGGTTAATCTCTAACGTTCGGTAATGGAATTGGTCGTTTGACTTGAGGTCGTCATGGTACCTTATATGGGGACAGTCATACTTTGACGGTGGTGGATGTTGCTCCGCAAAGGGCCGCTAATACGACATCGTTCGAGTACGTCAAGAATCATATGAAGGTTGTGATTGACCAATAAAGGATTCGTCACTCTTAGATAGTAGGAGATTATGATCTGCGTTTCATTCAATTAAGTTGATAACGAAATCCTTGGCCAAGATGTACTCATGAGTTGAAAATGAGTTTTCGACTTATATTGACTTAATAGTGGAGTGAAAGATATGATCTATATTCGGGATTGACACAATTCATATCTCGCAATTGATCGGATCATATTGACAAAGGGATTATAGTTTCACGGTAAACGAACGAGTTTGGTTTTGTCATACCACATGACATTTGCCGTCACGTGTATTACCCTGACACATTGTTAGATGTCAATTTGGGACGGCGAGTGTGAATTGACGATAAATTAAAAGGGTGTTTTAATTTATCAATTTTGATTAGATCAAAATAATATTCCACGTCGTTAGACATAGTGATCGGGAACCTGATAGGTCGTACACAAAAGAGAATTGGAAGATTGCAATTTATCAATTAATTAATTTAATAATCGTTAGATAAATTAATTAATTGTGTTGGTTATTTATAGGTCCGAATTAATTAATTAGATTAATTAATTCACAGACCGAATTTAATTAAATGGTTTAATTAAATATTGGACCGGACCGAGTCAGACCCATTTGAGCTTATATAAATACAAGGCTAGGGTTTTCAATCCACGTGTTTTTCATTCTCATAATTATTCTTGCTAGCACAAGAGGAGGGAACCCTGGTAGTTGCAATCTTTTTCTCTGTATGGATCACCGTTGGAGGTTGGACAATTAGACAGCTGTGGGTGGCGAATCAAAATTGTTGGAACGAAAAGAAAAGTTTGTAGAACTCTTCAAAGTTACAATCTTTATCACGATTTCTATCTAAATACAAAGAAATTCTCGGTGAGAATTGAAATAATTTTAATTTTCCGCTATACATGTATAAGTAGATTCCCAACACATTACACTGTTGAGTCCACATTTCTTACTTTGAAAGTCGTGCTTTTGACAATAATATTGTCTGCATCAGAAGTAAAAGTTGCACTTGCAGCGATAGAATCATGATTTTTCCAAACTAAAGATGAATGGCTAACCGTAAAGAAAAGTTCTATATCTAATCTACATTACCTGTAAACACCAGATTTGAAGATATAAGATCCATCTATTGTCGTTTGAAAGTACCGAGTTAATGGCTGATTGAATGGTTTCGACATTACCTAAACCCGATGGATCAACGTAGATTGTTCTATAAATCACTGATTTTCTTCGAAATTTGGCATCAGTGACACTGAAAACTATTGAAGGACAGAACAAGAAATGCATAAGAAAACCATTGGAGAGACAGAACAAGAAATGCATAAGAAAACCATTTTTACTCGAGTGGATGAAGTTTATGTGGAAAACTTTAAAGATTTTGCAATGAAATGATATATGGTCATAGATGCTGAATTTCCCTTCAACTTTCATATACAAATGACAGAATTGAAACATAAAACTCAAGATTCTTGAACCGTTCTTTTTGTGGGAAATAAGGATTTTTCAGGTTTTTTATGTCCATTATTTCAGTCATAAATAGAACAATCAAGAAAACAGTATATGGATTACAATTAATAATTTACAATAAAAGGAAAAGGAAATGGAATTAAGGAGCAATTTAGAACGCATATTTGTATAAGAATAACGCAGAAATTTATTTGTTTTTAATTTGAAAGAATGAACTTTTAAAGATATATGGAATATTTTTCATTTTTGTAGGGTTACATTAAGAAAAAAGGCTTTATTAGTGGAGAAGATGAATAAATAGATAGAAATTAAGTGATGAATAATTCTGTAATAATTACGGATCCTTCTAAATGTATGAGCCAAATATTTATGAAAATGAGGAGGCAAAATGCACGGATTTGATGGATTTCAATTGTTAGATTTTGAATGTGGAAAGTAATAAAAATGATAAAGGTGATTAACCGTCCTTTTGTTCTACTCTTCTTTAATCATGTTTCGTCTAACGTACACAATATGCGGTAACTCATAAAGAAGATTATCGACTCTTCTTTTGATTATGTGAAGTGTAAACAACTATTTTTAACCATATTCAGTCCAACGTACCAAATATGTAGTAATTGATAAAGATGATCGTCCACACTAGCAACTTCAAGTGATTGATGACAAAGGAAAAGATGGCTAAAAGGCTACAATACCTTTTTTTTTTTTTTTTTTAATTTTTTGAAATGTGATTATCTTAATGAAGAAAGGAAAAAAAAAATGAACAACAAAAGTACAATTCTTGAGTTGAAAATGGATGCATCAGTGCTTCGATTTTGATAAATCTGTTTTGGTTCATCGCAGATAAGTACTTAAAAACTTAGCCAAACAAGCAACCTTTCATTTTTATTTAGGATCCGTTTGATTGTAAAAATAGAAAAGACAAACAAATTTCGTATAAGTTGGAAAATAAAAAACCACCAAAACCATAGAAATGCATCTTCAATGGAATTGACAAAAAACATATTTGAAGTGTTAGTATCTTAAAATTCGAACTCAATTTTCACTTTCGTATCAAACAGTCAAAGTAGAAAACGAATTCTTCGAATATAACAGTTTTCAAAGAATTCACTCCAATCAATGGACCTTTAAAGAAATTTGATGGGCTTTTGTAGTGGCATAACGCCCATCTATGTAACTAGCCCGTATAATCTTAAGATGGGCCAAACAAGGCAGACTGGCCCGTCAAAACAGGCCCTGTATTTTAAATTACAGTATATGCGCCTAAACGGCGCTCTTTCTCTCTCCCGCAGCAGTGATATTTTGGTCGATCTGTTCAACATCAAGAAGGTAAACATTAAGTAGTTCTTGATGTATGTTTCACTATGCATTGCGATTTTTTCTTTGCTTTTGATAACTTCAATACCTTTTTTATCTTGATTCTATTGTAATTGTTTGAACATATTTGTAGAAGAGATTGATTCTTCATTATCCTGCTTCTGGGTTTCTTGGAGGTTACAGTAAATAATTAAGATGATTTTAACATTGAAATGTGGAAAATTTTGAGGGAATATTGTAAAAAAAATACAGGATTTTGGATAACCATAGCAGTATTTGAGTGTGCGATTAGGGTTCTTTTACTTGATATAAGAAATTTGAAGGGTTCGCATTTCTCTTTGCAACCATAAATTTTTTTACACTTCTAAATTCTAATATATATTTATTTCAAATTTCTTTCCTAGCAAATTAGATTTTTCGATAACATTGCCTTTCAAAAGTGTGTAATTGATTTGCCCTTGTGTTTGGAGTTGTGGCTAATCTCCCAATTTTTTGCTGCAGATAGTGTAATATTAGTTCGTGAAAGAGAAACATGGAAAAACCTCTAACTCAGAAGCCACTGTTCATCCAAGATGAGAATTCGACCATCCAACGCAAAAGTATAAAACTTATCCATCTTGTAATGATTTGTCTTTCCAATTTTTAGAATTTCTAAGTGGATTGTTCGGTCTGACCGATACTGAGACTATCTAGGCTATCAAATTGGTGTTTATGCTCCCTCATGTAATGCATTTGGTCAAGTTGATACTTAGAACTGTTTAAACTCTCCTTGGCACCTAGAGCATGTTTGGCTAAGCTTAAGAGTTACTTTTTTAAATATTTTTGCCCAAACATGTTGGAGGTCTTTGAGTATAGTTCTTTTCTGGATTTCAGTAAAAAAAAATTTCTTTGAAGAGTTACTGTCAAGAGAAAGTTAGCATACTTTTTTTAAAGTTAAGATAAACATGCTAGTAACCTCGAGTTTGTGAAGAAAGTGAGTTAATTTTTCTTTGTAGAGGCAGTGGTTCATGGTAAATCAAGGAGTTCCAAGCCGATTTCTGAGAAGGGTGGAGCAGCACTTGAAAGTCGTAGAGCTCTTAACGACATTACAAATAAGTCATTCCTTCATCCTGAGGCATCATTGAAGAAAAAGAATTCACAAACTAAGAAACATAATGTTTTAGAGGAAGGATCTTTACACAATCATGTTATTGAGGCTGAAGAATCCTCAAAGACGAAGAGTGTAAACGCGAATCTTAATATCGCAGAAGAGGGGTTTTTGCATGATCACAACAAATGCATTGAGGCAGAGAAAGCATCTGTGGAACGTCACTTTTGGGATATCGTTCTTCCTGGACATGGTAAGTTTTTCAAATTTGTAAACACGATGCCATCACATTCGTATAATTCATTATGTTCCACAATTGGGCAATGTTTTAGTATGAATGCTTGAAATGAGCTAGTATAGTTCAAATATGAAAAACTAAAAGTTAATGATTGAATTCCACATTTTGCTTTCTTATGTTTGATTGTGTCATAGCTCCATCTATAGTTTATATATTAAGAACTTGTTTGGTAGGACTTCTGCTTTTGTTTCTACTTCTTATATAAGAGATTTTCGAAGAAGTTATCATAAGTCAACTATCTCTAAAAGTTCTTCTAACTAGAACACTTCCAAAAAATTATGTGAATATGTTCAAAAGCAGTTTCTTAGTTTTAGAAGTAACTTTTAGCTTTTCAAAAGCTCTACCAAGTGTTATTGGAATTCCTTGTCGGCTTTGAACTTAAACTTGGAAATATTAGTGGCATGAACTTAAAAACGACCTACTCCACTATGCCGTGAATTCTTCTTAATGACATTTTAAATTCTAAAGCTCAAATTAACCTGACATGAACAAGAAAGAACTATTTTCATAAAGCTTGACCAATAATTGTATTTAACTCATTTCTAAATTTACTTAGATATCTGTTTTCGAAGGTTTCTACTTCATGTATAATGGAGGTATCATGAGGAAATAGTTGCTTGGAAACCTAAAAATGTTCATCATGGAAGTATTAGTTTTATGATGTCTAATTCATGTAGTTTCCTTTGTCCAGATTCTGCAGGTCCAGTGCCAAGATTGGCAAAGGTGGGAATATTTTACATTCAGTTCTTTCTCAAACTATATGTAAAATGAGGATGGACAAATCTTGACTAAACATTTTGCTTATTTTTGTGGTTAGATCGATCCCGATTTCAGTAGCCTAGCAGAACTAAAGGAAATAAATGAAGATTGGTTGAACTCTTCGTCATGGTGGAAATCTCCTCCACGTTCTCCAACGTGTTGGGATTCTCCACCTGCCTCTCCTTTTGCATGGGAGCACGAGTCCGTTGAATTTACTTTGAAGGAAGAAGATGATTGTCATGTATGAGTGATCCTCTCTATTTTTTGTTACTTGGTACATTAAGCAAACATGGGTTTTGAAGTCGACTGAGCTAATTTCAAACCTCAAAGGCATATGATAAGCATCTAGTACTATACAATTCACCACCAAGCTGTAACAACATTGCAGGATTGCATTCTCAGCGACAGTCAAATGTTGATTCGCATCTTCTTGATGCCTCTAACCATCTATATGCAGAATTACTTGTAATGTTATAATTGGTCTAGATTAGAAAGTTTGTTCTTGTTTATTTGTTTTGGAATATCACAGTCAATTGATCTCTCACTTTCCTTTCCATCAAACTAGTAGATCCTAAACTTAATATGCCTTCTTGATTATATGACATTGAGTTTGAAATTTGATGTCTCGTTTCACAGTAGGTTGGTAGTGCTTCAGTGTAATCATGAAAATTGAGGAGACTCTGTTCTTGTTTGATGTACAATACTAAGCTCAACTGAAATCACAATGCTTAAAAGCCGAACTTATTTTTAAATTGCTTCGTTGATTTAACTTACAAAACTTACCTTTTTAGAATGTCCCATCAATTTCTTTTTGGGTTTCAAAACATCAGCTAAATTCAAGTGAGGTGATATAGAATTAAATTACAAATGGGAGGAGCATCGACTTTACCTTCATAATTATAATCAGAAATTAAGTCTTGTGTCAAATTTTAAATAACTTTTGAACACAACTAATCATGCTATAAGAGACACCTCCATAATTACAATCAGAAACCAAGTCTTGTCTCAATTTTTAAAGAACTTTTAAACACAACTAAACATGCTATAAAAGACATCTTCACTAAAATATGCATGATGCATAAACAAGTTTCATTGAGTTCGTTACTTAAACATTTTGATTATACTCCACAATTTATGCACATGTTTTGAAGTGCTTACAAATCGTTTAAATTATAAATAAATAAATAAAAACAAATTGTGGATAAGTAAATAATAATCGTAGATCCCACAAGGGAATAAAAAGTAATTTGAATGTTCATAAACAATTCATTAACATGAGCTGAACATAGGCTAAATTGCAGCACATTTTTCACAAAGCAACCTCTCAATAATAGCCTCTCTTCGAGTCCCCAATCAATCTAGACTTCCCATGCTTCCTTTATATTTGCAATTGAAATTTTTAAAGTCGAACTCATAAATTTATAGATCTCTTAAGTTCTTTATCTTGTGAGAAAAAGAATTATTCACAAAAATCAATACTTTGATATATATATTAAATAAAATGTTTAACACCTGCAGGCCCAATGATGGAACCCAACACTTGAGCCTAAGTTGTTTTGTGACCCGGTTTGCCCCCACTTGAGCAGAGTCGTGTTTCCTCCAAATGCGATTTTAGTTTGTTTTAACTGGATGGATCAGATGGTGTCAAGTGAAGTCGGCCGAACCGTTGGATGCAAATGACTTTTCATTATACTTGGCCCTAGACTTTTCACTTATCGTCATTCGAGAGACTTCTAGGGTTATCGTTTCATTTTTGCTCTCTGTAATTTTCTCTCTCGAAAAACCTCTAATTTTTTATTTTAATCTCTGAATCATCAAATGTTCTTGGTGAGATCTAGTTCGTGAACTTGGTGTAGAGATTATATTTGTTCTTGGTTGAACAATGAGACTCGATTACTTGGTGTAATCTGTTTGTTCGATCTGTGAGGAAAAAAAATAGGGTCTAAGGGCTGATCTTTTTAGATATATAGTTTGTAAACCTTGTACTGATACTCTATTGCAGGTTTCTAGTGGATTAGAGCGTTAACCACTTTCGTGGAAGCCCAACGTGGTGACGTAGTCCTTTTGGGTGAACATCCAAGCCTTCAGGCGAAAAAATCCTTGTGTTATTTTATATTTCTGTATTTTTCTTCAGATTATTGGGACTGTTAATACCAACAATATAGCCCATTGAATTTGAAAACTTTTTGCATGGAAACCGTAATTAGTTTATTTAAGTGTTAAAGCAAGTAGCTTGACCAAGAACCACCTCAAAATATCGCAAAATCAATTACGACTCAAAGATTCCAGTACACTGCAGTCATATTGTAGCTCAAAAGGGGGAAGAAATCAAAGTTATGTTCACAAGAACTTGTTTAACTATTGCAGAAACTATCCTGATTCCACTCAAACAATTATATGCGTAACACTCTTGGGAAAATCATTTAGGTCATCTATTTCTCAAAAGCAGCAAAAATTTTACTTATTGAAGAACTTAGATGAAAAAACCTAATAAGATTTCCCACAGTGTATCAAGCTTCCAGCTCCCAAGAAAAGACCGAAAACAGCAGCGCTCCCCAGTGTTGTTTTTCCAATATACCTTATTTTTAGAAGGCCTGGTACCTGCATTTTCAGAAGGTAAAAACAAAATTACATAGAAGTCCCAACTAGATATCGAGATATAGTAGGATAAACGTCCAAACTTTCAGATTTTATTATTCTTTACAACAAAGACCTTAAACATGCACTCACAAGCCTAAGATATCTCGAGAAACAATTGTCAAATGATGAATGTGTTCTTAGAATATTTGACATAGACAACAATGATGATGGAGGGACGAAACAAGAAGTGCCCAACAAAGAACTGATAAACTAAAGTAGTATAGTAAATAAAGTTGTTTATGAAAAAGCCCAACTATTTTAAATAGGATTATTGGTTAACTATATTAATGATTATATTACTCGAATTACTCAAAAGTCCTCTTTCACAGGGCCGATGGATTTGTTCAACCTTGAGTTGGCGGAATTCAGGTCTTTAAATAGTTGAGTTTGAGGCATTTAGGTGTCATCCTCTTTTCAATTCTTATAAAAAAATCCATCTAAATGCAACTCCACACTCAAGTTTTGCAAAATTGCAAGCAGGCAAGTTACTTCTGATCATTGGTAAAATTATGACGAGATCATAAAATGCGGAGTTATTAAACTAGCTATGTTGCTCGGCTCAGGTACGGATACATTATATATCTACTGGTCAGATCCTTTCTCTTCTAAAATCTGAGATACAGCTAAAAATGATCCAAAATTTGGACACGGGTACCCCAAGTCAGAGGTATTAGAAGAAAAATGATCCAACTCCTAGATATTTACCTGTCTCCAACACTAGTACCCGAGTCCGAGCAACATAGTGCACGATACACTCAAATTCTTAATTGCTTGCGGCATTCATCATTATATTCATGACCAAAAAGAACAAGATGATCATACAACCAAAAATTGTATATCTTTGAGATAATCCTTTAATAGGTATGGAACAGTTTGCTGTCAGAAATCATTGTAGGAGTTTCTTCCATATTTCTCGTATTTTACAAGTACGGTATGCCGTGTAGTTTATGCTAATGTAAATTCACAATTCAACCAATAGTTAGAAATTCAAAATGACAAAAAGATAACTCCATACAAAAGCATTAACACATAATTTAAAGCTTTAGGAAGTCATAAACTTTACCTTGTATCTAATAGCCTCATAAGTTCCATAAACAGCTCCTGCATATAAACACGTGCATCAAATAGATTCCCTCTATTAATAACTGCCAATAATCTTAAACTAGTTCTAGCAATATCCAAGATTTGATGACCAAGAGACTTAAAAACAAGCACAAATTTTCTTGTAAATGAAAATTAAAAAAATTTTATTAATTAAATGGAAAACGAAGGTATCGTATTTGATTACACTACATAACATCATCATTTCACTTAAATGAATATTTTACCTACAGTCAAAATGTTTATTTTACTGCTCCTCGGTCGGATTCTTAACCATGTAAGATCAAGGTACAATCTCTACGTAGCAAATGTTGTACTTTTCGCTTCAAAGCTTGTACCTGTCCTTGCACTATAAGTTTCCTAGTTGCTAAATCAAAGCATGAAAATACAATCAGAAAGCTCCTTTTCAGTTTCAACTAGACAATTGTGTATGAAACTTTCTGAACGAATAGGACCTCGCAGCATAGGAAACAAGATTTTAGCTTCTTTTTCTTTTCTAATCCATTGCAGTGCAATGCAATCCTTCCAACCAAATACGTCATTATTCTTACCAGTATTATACTCAAATTACTGTCAAAAAGTTAATTTTTCTAACTGTTACCAACAATGACAGAACAGAGTACAATATCTGGAGCAAATGTTGTACTTCCACTTCAAACTTGTAACTCGTCCTTACACTATCAGTATCCTAGTTGCAAATTCAAAGCATAAATATACAATCAGAAACCTTCTTTTGGATCACAAGTTAGATAATTAAACAATTGTCTGAGAATATTTTAGAAAAGGTTTATAATAGACAAAATTAAAGGAAAAACACGGAAACTAATTCAGTTAGGGTTTAAGACACTTACCAACAGCGCCGCCGACGGCACCGCCGACTGCAACCCCCGCCGTCACTCGTGCCATACAGCTGTCCCTTGCCATCTCTCACTACAGTGATAGCAAGATTGGATAGATATGACTGTATTTATACCAAAATTTGCTCGGCGAGATAGGCAGAGTTGATCTAGGGAAGATTATAGTTGGGATCCTAACTTTTTAATCAGTGTGTTTCTGGATCCAAATCTTTAAAAGTGAGGTTATGCGTCCTTCACTTATTTAAATATGTCATATTTGAATCTGAAACATGAGGCGATATGGACATTTAAATTACACGATTTTCACTTGATTTTAAATTAAAGGGTAAAATTGTCAAATCACTTAACGCCCAACTTTAAGCTATAAAAATTACATGCAATTTTTTCATTTGCATAATTCATAAATTTAAATAAGTTGGGGGCTCACAATCTTGATGGTTATGACTTAAAACTATGCTATCTAAATAGTCCGATGGATGTAACTTTTATTTTCTCCGGTTTAACTTACTTTTTATTAGTAAAAAGTAATTTGGTCAAACTTCTACTTTGTGTAATAACTTCAAGAGAAAGTCATCTTGAAGTCAACTTGTTTTAAAATTTCATGTATCTGGAAAAGAATTTTCAGAAGATTATCTTATGGGCCCAAAGTAACTTTTTGATTTCAGAAGCTAGTAACAAATGTTTATTTATTTATTTATTTATTTTTATTTTTATTTTTATTTTTTAAAGTAACTTTTACATAAGGATAAAAGTGAGATTATCGAATTATTTAAATTTGTGAATCTGTATCATGAGGTTATATGAACATTAAAATTGAAGATTGAAACTATCGAATCACTTAATGCCCAATTTGAGTTGCGCAAATCACATGCATTTTTAGCGTCTATATTGATTGTTTCCATCAACTTAGGATTTTGTTCCACAAATTTAAATGAAGTGTACTTTACTTGATGGTTCGAACTCAAAACCATGCTATTTACATCGTTGACTGGTCTAACCTTAATTTTCTCTTAAAAGACCCTATTTTTTGTTTTTGTTTTTGTTTTTGTTTTTTTTGCTTAACTTACTTTTTTGTTTTAAAAAGTAACTTAGGGCCAATTTAATTGAAATTCAACTTGCGTAAAAGAGTTTCATTACAAAGTGATTTTAAATCAGCTTCTTCCAAAGACTCTTGTAGCTTAAAAAGAAAAAAAAAAAACCAATTTTAGAAAATTATCTCAATAATTTCAAAAGTAACTTCTTAATCTCAGAAATATATTTTGACTTTTCTGAAACTTTGCCAAACAGGCTGCTACTATTAAAATTACGTTTTGCATAAAAGAAGCTTAAAACCTTTACTTCTTTTTCATCCTTAGGTTTCGCTTAAGGATAATATTGTCCAACACAATTTTTTTGTGTGAAGAGACATATTTCGATGTGGAAATAGAATATTTACACCTCGTTTTACAAAGTTCTTTGAAATTATAAGTTGATAGATTTTGAAAAAATTTGTGATTAAAAATTAAATAAAAGTTATGAGTCAGTGAAATGTGTTCAATCAAAAATAAAGTTTGATTAACTTAAAATATAAAATAAGCTTTACCAAACAATTGCTTTTCTACAATTCTAATAATCCTTTTATTAGGTCAAAATCTATGAAAATTGAAAGGCAAGCTAATTGGAATTTTTCCAAATGACTTACTGACTTTCCATATATTTTCACTGTAATCATATTGATCAGGTATTTCTCTTTGATTTCAGTTAAAATTTAATTAAGCATGAGACAATTCTTAAAATTAGTCATTAATAAGTTGCTTTACATAAATTAATCTGTGTTTAAAATAATCACCACTTTCATTGCCCAAAATAAAGGCATGAAATTGAACTAATTAAATTTCATAAACAATTTAGACTTGACGATTTTTCTCGAGCTATCAAAACAATTAGATTGCGCCGAATTATAGCAAATCAATTTCGATTGGATTTGATCCATCGATCACATAGAAAAATCGATCAGTATCTTGATATTAAGAACAATTTTATCGACACACCCATCTATATATTTGAAAAAAAATAATAATAAACCACATGGGAACTAGAACATATTGATTGATCATCACTGCATATAAATTAAGTGTAGAACTTCTATAGTTACCTTATAGCATTATTGGGTCGAACCGATCCATACCCATCCCTCGATGAAAACACTAGATATAATTATTAAAGTAAATGGTCGTTATTTTCTTTTTCAGCAAAAAAAAAAAAAAAAAAAAACTAAACCATGTTTGACCCACATTGTTTTAAAATTACATTCTTTAACAGTGATTTGACATAATTTTAATCACACATTCTTCAATAACATAATATCACATGCAAATTCAAAATTTTGACTTATTTTTTAAATCCATATTATTTATCAATATACTATTTAAAAATACATTTTAAAAAATAATGTGGCTCAAACGAGGGCTCAGTCTCTGCTTCCTAAAAAAAATAATCTAATTTTAATCTAAATTATAGCCCATAATTGTCGACAAATTTGATCAAAGTCTACGTTTTTAATCTGGCTTCATCTGTAAATAAATTTTCCGCACGTGGCATACACTTCGCGCTTTATGTGATCCATATTACCCCGCTGTTTTTCCTATGGAATCAGCATAATTCTCCAGAATCTCTCTTTCTCTAATTACATTTGTTCATTTTTTATATAACAACTGTAAATTAACCAAAATTCTGTATATAATTCATAGTTAAAGTTTAGATTTTTGCTTTATACGTTCAAAAAAATTATCATGTCCGCAGCAGTTGAAATGTTTGATCAGCAACTCATCAATGGTGTTCGAGATCTCTCGATCCAGAATGAGCTTTTCACTTTATTCGTTTTTAATTTTTAACGCCCTTTTTTGGGTATTTCAGGTAAATGGAGAGAAGAAATCTGGAAAATTTTGTTTTGCAGTTTTATTAATACTGAAATTGGAGTCAATTTTTTTCCCCCTACATTTTTTTCATCGCATGAATTGTGGGAAAAAGCTGTTATTCTAATTTGATTGATGAGATCTGTTTTTGCTTCATCATATTTCAACTGAGATCAAATGAAGATTAGTAATTTTATATTAATATTTGAAATGCGAGAATAGGCGAATGGGGACTTGATTTTCTGTTTCTATTTCTCGTTTGTAGATATGTTTTCCTATAGACTTTTGTTAGTTGATTAGTCTCTGTTTTGGAGTATCTAATCTCGGTTTTCTTGATGTGGTTCAAGTGAGTGATCAACATGTAGGAGACCGTCTGATCGAGTATATGGCTAAAAATGATCAATATGAATCCAGAGATTGGATATTGAGCGCTGCTCAGCGTCCTATATAGACATATTTTAATTGAATAGTATTCTAGAAATACAAAATTGATATTTTCTAGCAGTATTAATGTCCATTAATTACTAGCTGTCAGTGTCTGTTAAACTTATAGAAGTTCCTTCACTTTTTTTGGGCATTTTCCTTTCTACTCTATAAATCATTATATTAATGCAATGCAGTAGATAATTGGATTGATCTTGTGAATTGATTGAATTGAATCTGCAATTTCAGAGTGAAGTTAAAGGGGATTGTACAGCAGCACTAGAGGAAATTCACCTAGTGGGGTATGAGACTAACAATATTAACAGCACTAATCATCACGGGGTCTGTGCAATATGTTTGGATGAGGTAGCTCTTCAGGAAACAGCTCTGACAAAAGGTTGCAAGCATGCCTACTGGTTTGTCCAAATCTCCTGTATATTTACCTGCATTCTTGAAATACTTGTGTTTTCCGATGCTAATGAAGTTTATGTTAGACACGTTAGTTGATACTGTACGACTAATAGGACAAATGTTCAGTCCTTTTATACATTTTCTAGTTAGAGACATATCTAAGTCAGAACCTTCCCAATTGTTTTATAACCCCTGGTCCCACAAAATAAAGGCAACCTCCATCGGAGCTAATCAGTCTATTGACTTTAGCAGTGGCTCACCAATCACCATTTTAATTCCCATATCTGGTTGTTGGTCTGTACATGACTGAATATGTTTCGTCTGTTTCTTCTGTGTTTTGTATTTTGAGCCTGCCTCTCTGTCTGTTACTTTGTTGAAAACTACACGTCCTACTTCATTTATGAAATGCAATAATTATGTATGTTCAGTTCATTTACAATGATTTTCCATGTTCATTCATTTGAGACTATAGTAAAGAGTACAAAAACTTTGATTGCTTCATATAATTAAGAAAACAGTTTTCTTGCATATTTGTCTAGCAACGTTGGCATATTTGGAGAAGAATGTTTTTAATATGTTTAGGAATATAACCATCTAATAGGTAGTTACTATATTTCGATCAATTAAATATTTTGGATGGATCGTTTTTATCGATTCTAGTTAGAAGCTTATTTGGTTTGCAAATCAGTGCATTTTTTTGGAATATCTAATTGACAGTGGATATCGGGTCCTTAGGATTTTAATTTAAGTTGCTTGATATTTTTTGTTCAGTGTAACATGCATCCTGCGGTGGGCCTCTTACAAGGAGGAACCATTGTGCCCTCAGTGTAAAAATCCATTTGAGTTTATGAATATCCATCGCTCACTTGATGGAAGGTATTTCAGCTCTTATCTCAATGTCCAGATGTTTTTTCTGAGCTGGGCTAAAATTCCTATGACAATCTTCATCCTTTAATTGACTAATTAGTGAATTATATGTTTGTGTGGTTATTGTAATGGAGCAGCTGTTGGCATAAATTATTTTAGGTATTTGTGCTGGTTGAGAAAAATTAAATCCCTTTGATTTGTACTATGATCTTTTTTTGGAGCAGCTGTTGGCATTAAACATGGTTACGTGATCTTCTCAAACCATAATTTACTGTTTATAATTGGATGTAATGCAATTGATGACTGATAAAACTGAAACTTGGATATGTAACAAGTATCTAAGATAAACAAGGAAAAAAGTGAGTAATTAATTGGGAACAGGTTTATACAGATTTTAGTGGTTGCTATGTTTCAGAGTGACATCTAATGACAGATGATGAATAGTTGAATTTGTAAAATATAGATGAATATCGTTCTGACATATTATAATCAAAGCATAGATGAATAATAATAAGTGTTTTGGGATTAGAATTAATAATTTTGTTAAAAGAAAATTTTGAAATTACTTGGAAGAGGGATGGCCTTTTTTAGAATGCAGGATGTAAGAGCTTGAATATTGTGCCTTTCATGTTTCTTTTTTAATCTTCATCTTACATAATCATTCGAATTTGAGCAGCGTTCACAATGATATGATTGAGGAGAGTGTATGCCTTCTTCTAGGAGCCTCATGGTTTAAGCCTTTGATTGTGGTGGATCTAGAGGAGGTGCATGTGGATGTGAATGTGGAAGATTATTATTATTATTACGAGGATGAAGAAGAAGATCTAGACAATGTATACTATGGCAGTTCCTCAAGTCTCCGCATCGGTAACTGGAGATGGGGAGATAATGGATATGTTCGGGGTGGTTGGCAAGAAGCAAGACCAATGCATAGGCCGAACTTCCAGGATACAGGTGCTGGTCCATCTCGTCAGCCTAAAAAGAAAGAGACTGCTAAAGAAATGGTTGGCAGACGTGCAAAAAGGGAATTGAAATGGGAAGCTGCTGACAAGGCTGCTGCAGCAAAACACGAACGACATTTTATGAGGTTAGGTCACAAGTCTGGTTGAATGAACAAGCTTCTCAGAGCCTGGGACCAGGCACTTTGTAAAGTATTTCCTTGACTTCTGTTCTGAAATAAGGATTATAGATGCTTAGGTTCACTTACAAAAATGGGCTGTATCGTGTATATTGCCCCTGTTGTACCCAGCAAGAATAAATTTCTCAAGTACTGTACATTAATTACTTATTTAAATTATTTCTTATTTAGACTCCTCTTCATGTTTTCGTTGTAAGATTTGCAGATTCATTAGTCTTCTAAAGTTGGATTGAATGTTGATGCTAAAACATTTGGATTAGTCTTATGCGAGCTGGAATTTCATTCCACCCCAAAAATGAAAGAATTAAGGCACATTTGGTTGGGTGGATCTAATAGTACTAGGCACACTAAATCTTGTGCGGTCTAATCCTATTCAGTATTGGGTCTATATCAAACATGGCCTGATAATCAAAGAATAATGCGCTGTTTGATGGCCATTATTTGATAAAATAGGTATTTAATGGTGAATTTTTGGAGAATGTGTGGTTAAAAAGAAGGAAAAAGCTTTTTATTTACATGCAGAATATTTTATTGTATGAATATATGATTAAAAATGAGAGTGTAGAAAAAATAGTTCTTGGATAATGGTTGTCAAACAAGGGCTTAGATGTTTCTTAATTTGGATTTTGTCATGTCTCTCAAAAGATGACGATTCTGAGGACATGAGGTAAGTTATACGTTGCTGGACAACGTTTTACTGGCTAATACTAATGATAAATGAAGTCAAAGTTCAATTGTCTTGACATGAGAAATGTCGAGGTTTTGTTCATTAGAACAATCGATAATCCAAAAGACGTCGAAAAAGATAGTGGACAAAAAAATTATGGTCTTGAAATTATGGAAAGCGTGGAGGAGAGGTTGATGATGAAGATGGGTCCTGGTGGGGTCTCCCCACCCAAAGTGGAGCAAGTTTTTATCACTAGAAGTGGAAGAAATTGAATTTTCAAGCAAAGAAAAATCACTCTGTACCAACTATCTAACATCATCATCCACTCTTTTGATTCTATTTTCCATTCTTTTCACCTACTGCTAACCTCCTACTTATCAACTTGCATTTGTTGAATGAATCTGAGCTTTCACTGCAAGTCTCACCCTCTCTCTCTCTCTCTCTCTCTCTCTCTCTCTCCCCCTCTCCCTCTCCCTCTCAAACACACACAACATCTGTACGCTAATCCTAATCTGGTGTTTTCCTTTCAGGTTGTGTAAATCATATTGATCTTTAGAGGGACTTTTTCGAATCTAGAGCTGCTTCTCGTTAGTGCATTTCTTGGGGCAAGATTGGGACGAGAAAGTGGAACTGCTTGACGTTGCATAGTAGAACTCATTTAAGCCCTATTCAAGTAAAAATATGGATTCAGATCTATTTACCTCAAGTACATTGATTTCGTTCATTTTATTTGCCTCTGTTTCTTGATTGATTGGATATCTCTTTCCATTGTCATATAGAGTCAAGATTCTCATATTCAACAATTCCGAATCATCAACCAGTAGAATTTCTGACTTTTTGTTTATGAGCATGGATTCTTTTGATAAAGTCCCTGGATTCATCTACAACCCGACTGCAAATCCAGATGGGGATGCAGATTTTTCTGGGATTCTTGAAATCCATGTTCATCATGCTAGGAATATTCATAACATATGTATCTATGACAACCAAGATGTTTATGCAAAATTCTCTCTCACCTGTAATCCGGACGAGACTCTGTCAACAAGGATCATCAACGGTGGAGGGAAGAATCCTGAATTCAATGAGGATTTGATCATGAAAATCAACCAGATCGACGCTGTACTTAAATGCGAAATCTGGATGCTTAGCCGGGCTAAGAACTTCATGGATGATCAGCTTCTTGGATTCACCTTACTCCCGATTTCTTTGGTAATTGGACAAGGAAAAGTGACTAAAGATTTTAGCCTGTCTTCTACTGATTTGTTGCACTCCCCAGCTGGTACTATCAAATTATCCCTTTCTTTGAGTGCAAATCAAAATGCTCCCCTCATTCCCTCTGTAAATTCTTTATCTGATTCGGTTGGTGATTCGTCTATAACTTCTGATCTTTTGGTGGATAAAAAGATCCCAGAAGCGTATTTCAGTTTAGACTTTCCCGATATTAATGTAGTTAATGAAAACCAACAAATGGTTTCAGAATATTTTTTCTTGGCAAAACCTGGAACCCTTCTCAGGCCATGGCCCGAGAAGCCCGATGGTTCATTTCTTCAACTCGGGTCTGCCCCAAATCCCCCTGTTGAGGACTATGAAATGACTGCTGATTCTTCTGAGGAGTATCGGACTGATTCAGTTTCTCCAGATGGAAGCATTCAGAATTCAGGTTTTTTCAGTTCTACGATGACAAGTTTGAGCGATGATCGAAACTCTGCTGATTCAATGGATAAAAAGAATTACACATTTGCTGATACCTTAAATTTCCCTAATGTTGCTTCAATTATGAAGGTAGATGCCAATCCAAGGTTCAGTTCTTGCCCCGAAACTCCAACATCAAAGAAGGAAAGTGAGAAAAAGGAAGAGAATGAGACTAATTTAGTTTCAACTCATTCAAGAAGTGCTGATCTTGAGGCAGAAGAATCAGCGATGCAGCAGCAGATAGTTGATATGTACATGAGAAGCATGCAACAATTTACTGAATCTTTGGCCAAAATGAAGCTCCCAATGGCTTTAGATAGACCTGAAACTGACAATCAAGGTGATATTATTCAGAACCTTGACAAGAATATAAAAATTGAAGAGAAGAAAAAGGACAATTCCAGGGTTTTCTATGGCAGCCGAGCTTTTTTCTAGCAGAGCCACTCGGACTTAGAGCTAGCTGGTACTTCCGGAAATGTTACATGGATCGTCGAATCAACAGCAATAAGCCTGGTTTTATTTGCGTTTATTGAGGAGTATAATTTAAGCTTGATATAACATTACTCTTGTGATGAGCATAGATTCTGTAGAATAACTTGAAACATGTAGTTTCATGTTGTTCGTTTCATGTTGTTCATATCTTTCTTTTAGAACCTAATGTTATTGTCGTATTGTATTGATATATTTTCCACGTTATCATGTTCATATATTATTTGCACATCTTGTACTAGACGTACTAAGTTGTGATATTTATGGATATTTTTATTTTTTTTGAATTAATAGTTATTATTGTATTGATAACAAAGATTTTTAGTTTTGTCACGAATTGTAACAATAGTGTTTTAAGATATTTTCATGTGATTTTGATATAAATAATCAAGGAACAATCATTGGACAGTCCATTAATCTTTTTTTAGGACATGTTTGATTGGATATATTTTCCATGGAACCAAAATGTAGTGTTTGATTGCTAAATTTTTTAGGGTATTTGATTTCCACATTTTCCTCCACACATGTGCCTTTTCCTCCACCATTTTGGTGGGAATTTGGTTTTCCACATTTTCTTCCACCATTTTGGTGGGAATTTGGTTTTCCAGCTTTTCATTTTGATTTATTTTCAATTTTTCAATTTTTTGATTTATTATTTTTTTTAGCAATGGAAACAAAATCTATCAACAATTGTAAAAGAAATTATCCATTTAGTTGACAATTTTCATGAAAAACAAGATCAAACGAAAGTCAAAAGATTCAAAATTTCAACATTTTTCACGTGGAAAATTATACTAATCAAACACAATAATTTACAATTTTCAAGAAAATAATTTCTAAACAATTCAATTCCCTTAAATTCTTTTTCAATTAAATTCAATTCCATCTTTACAATCAAACGGACCATAAGTGTCAAAGCTCAAGCGACATTTTATTGTTATACTGAACAATATTAGATCAGATTGAAAAGAAAAGCAAATAGCACGTTTCAACCACAAATTCACATACTAAAATATTTTACACGTAAATTCAAATTTTTTTCTACTTTATAATTATACATTCTCTAAAAAATCACTATTCAAAAAACCACCTTTCCAAAATAATGACCATTATCAAACATGTCATGAATAGACATGATTCGTTAACTTTGTTTAGTTTTATTAATTCAATCTTTCAATCAATATATATGAAGCAGAAATTTCATTACCAGTCCTAGAAATATTGTTTTGAGTATATGCTAGTCCCTATCATTGCACAATCAGTCTCTTACAATAAAAAAATTTCCACCTCTATGTTAATCATCATGTGATCCTCATTTGTTCAACTTTACAAATGTTGGGCTTTGCTTTTCAAATTGGTTGTCCTAAAAAAATTTGAAGTAGGGCATTTTTATGTGAAGATTAAAGTGGCAATTTTACTAAATTTTGAATGGTTACTTATCGAGAATGGATGTGTAATATTTGGGACCAAATAGCTAATTTTTAGATGGAAAAATTAGGGCTCACTCCTCAATCTTTCAAACAATATCATCAATCTTCAAAAGTAAGATTTTGAGTCATCCCACGTGACTAAAATCAATAATGTGAATATTAAAATCACATGTAACTTCATGTGAGTTAAAATTGGAGGGTAAATTCGTCAAAATGCTTAATATTTTCCTAACTTGAATTTGAAAGTCATAGACGAATTTAACTTCCACAGCGTCGATTTCCATATGAAGATCCAATCTAAAAACTTTAAAATTGTGTTGAAGAGTCAAAGTCTTACTTTTGAAGGTTAGATGGCCAATTTTTCACTACGTGAAAAGGTTGGAGAGTGTGGTTCTACTTTTTCGGTTTTCCTCACTCGAAATTGGGTCTATAAATGAACCGAAATCTCTTTTGAGGGACTTTAGTTGAAAGTTTTAAAGTATGGGAGGCGTGAATAATATATTGCATACATACCTTCTGCAGAAGTCACGTAAAGCCAGCGTCGGACAACTTTGGTGTCTTACTCTCTGTATCTCGAATTTAGTTTTTTCAGTTTTTGAGATTTTTCAACAATGCCCATCTTTTTCTCCATTGGTATGTTCCTAGATCTGCTGTTTACACACTTCATATTTATTTGAGATATCTATCTACTGATCTTATTGTAGTGTAAATTTCATAAACGATCTTGTGTATGTAAATAGCTTGTGAATAAGTGAATGTTTGTTTAGGTTTTGATATTTCTTTTGATTAAAAGATTCGTTTGCTTGTAATTTGTTGGCAGTTCATATTTTCGACTGATCACTGGAAATCTTTATTTTTCTGACAAAATCGGCTTTTTTGGACTGGTAATTTTCTTTATTTGAAGTGTATTCAATATTACTGAAGCCCATAATTTATTTCCATGTGTTTGTTAATTTTGTATTGACAGGTCGATTTCTGCAAGTGCTGAAGCCAAGGTGTAATCTTCATTCTAAAACTGAGTTTTGGGACTAGTGAATTGAAGGAATTAAAGGCTTGGTTTTGTTTATACTTGTAAAATGTTTAGATAGAGCAATTGGATTGTGGGTTGACTTTGAAAAAATATGTAAGAATTAGCGCTTTATATTATCAGTATAGGATAGATGATTACAATGAAAATTATGGGGAGTTCGTCTTTTCTGTTGGTGTTATTATCTTTGGAGGTTTTCTTCGCGACGTATAATTTTTTAACTCTAGTAATGCACCATATGGGTAGTCATAGTGGTTCAGAGGAATTGTATGTTCCTTTTAGGATCGAGCTAAGGGAACATAATGGTTGATATAGGAGATGACCGAACACACACACCTCGAGGGTCAGGCATTATTTAATTCACGTGAGACCCGCGCACTTTGTGAGGGTCGGTCATCCCGAGGGTCAGGCATTATTTAATTCACGTGAGACCCGCGCACTTTGTGAGGGTCGGTCATCCCGAGTGTCAAACATTTTTCGGACAAAGTGGCATTTTCCTTACTTTATGAGGATGTCTGATGAGGTGACGAGGTGGGAGGGTGGCCAAAGTTCCATGTTGCTTTGACGGCTACTGATGCGCCTTATAGCAAATGACAGTGCTGGATTATGTACTATTGTTATAAAAAGATGAAAGATGCATTACAAAGCTCTGAGGCGTAATTTCCTGAAGAAAGAAAATGAAAAGGATAACAAGCATGTACTGACATTGATGGAAGGACCCTTCAGCTGTATCACTAGTTTTACTCCTAAATATCCCATCACAAGTGCAGCACTTGGTGCTTGTTCAAGAGCGTGTTCTAGGGCTGTCTTCCACTCATACAAGTCCTCTGATGTCTCTGCCTGGAATTTCAAAACAGCAAGAAAAAGAAAAAGATCTTTTACGGACTTTAAGAGTAAATGCCCGGCCATCACGTCCATAAGGAAACAAAACAGTAAGTGGCTTCTTATCTTCTCGAACTACAACACTGAACACAAGAAAATTCAAGGATATTGCAAGAGAAACACATAAACAGTTTTGGCACAGGGAAAGAGAGGGAAGAGTGAGAGAGAGAGAGAGAGAGAGAGAGTCCACAAATTTGTGTTGTTGATTCATACCTTCCTGAATTATTTAAATCAATGCCCCCCAAAAGTCAGATTTATTTCACTGCCTCGCTGTGGACGGGCACTCTAGAGGAAAGCCATAGTCGTACAGTCATTAAAATATTAAAAGCTAAGTCTGTAAGACTAACAATGAACCTAATACGAACTAGCCAGAAGTATTAGGTGTGCTTAATAGAAGGAAATAAGCAGAAAGTATCAAATTCACATCATCAGAAATCAAAGAATAAAAAGAACAGATGCATAAAAGTAAGCTAACAGAGTCATTCTTGAAGAAAATCAAAGAAGTGCGAGTAAGGATAAACTATCGCTTCTTCCAAGACTTCCATCCTAAACCTGCAAGATGTTTCAATGGTTAATGAATATTAAGGACAAGAGTAAACCAGAAATGAAATTATTTACACTATTGTTAATGAAAATAATGGGTGGAGAAGACATTCCATCTTGTATCACAATAACCATAAATGTGCAGTTCAAATGATACACTTATCAGTGGTAAAGCAAATCATTAAATGTGTTTTCTACCTTTAGTCTTCCTACAATTGATCTTGTACCAGGTAATGCTTAAATGAATTAGAGTGGCCTACAAGTCTTACGGCAGTGCCAACAAGCAATGAGTGCCTAGTATATAAAGAACATTCTCATATATATAAAGAGCTGCACTGTCATTAAAAAGTGGTCCTCAGGTTAGTGATTTAGGTCCATAAACGAATATTCTTTAATCGATAGAGGAATGCATAAGGGTTTTCTGGGTGGATGTTGTGGTCACACAGACGGGTACAATCCTAGTTTTATTGAGTTTAAGCCCCAAATGTAATGATCTTCTCTTTGATGCCTCCATCTGAGTTTTCTTGAAAGGGAATAAATTTCTGCTTTGTAACTTGGTTTTTGCAAAGAATTCTTGAGTATTCTTGTATATTTGGTTCGATATTTGACATAACAAACAAAATGGAGTCACCATGCACATTCTACTTAGCCACCACCTCCTTCCTTAACCTAACTTTAATTAATTATAGTATTTAGTATTCAATATTAAAATGCTTATTTTTCACGTGTATTTATTATTATGTTAAATATCTTTAATTTATTTGGCCATTAAATTATCGAGTTTCGTAATTTGTATATCGTTCTAGAAAAGATTGTGCATTTTAGACTAAATAGTAAGTACATTAAGTTAGTGTAAGGGATAGAAATATACCCGTAACTTTAAGTGATCTATTGAACTATTTTCACAAAGATTTAATGTGGTTCTTTGATTTTATTCGACATAGAGATTTAGTAGATCAAACTAATCAATTAGTATTAATTTCGCTCGAGAGAGATAATTAAGTAAAATTGAAAAATTGGGTCTAACATCATATATGAGTATTTTGTTAATTGACTTGTGAAGATTACAACCACATTTTTTCCGACCTCTTTATATTTTCTTATTTTGTAAATTTTTAGTTTATTTTTCCTAATTTTTTAAAATCAAATCTTTATTGTGTATTTGTTTAAATTGTTAAAATTAAATTGATTAAAGATGTGTAATCAGAAATAAACATTATTCAAGAATTTCTCGAGAAACCGACAATTCGGACTCAAAATCCACTTTATTATTTGATCGTCATTCATGTACTTGCGGTTTGTACTTTCATGGTGAACAATTATGCATAGAATTGAAAACTTCTACCATCGATTTGATTAGAATGGATAAGCAAATTGCAGTTATTTTGCCATGTGTTTCTTCTAAGAATTGTCATTGTTAATCTGACATAAGATCTTGTAAGTTGAGATTTCTGTTCTTGCTGATCTTTCATTTCTTATTCTTCACAATCTCCGTTAAACACTTGTCCTCTTTGGAATCGTTTGGCCCCTATTTTTTGGTAATGAAAATGGGAGGAATAGTATTTTTTTGTAAAATGAGTGATTGAAAAAGAAGGAAAAGTTTTTTATTTACATGTAATATTATTTTATGGAAGATTGTGTGGTTGAAAATAGAAGTGAGAAAAATAGATTGTATTGGAATGTAATTTAATGAGGGCCAAAAGGAGGCAAAAAACAAAAAGCAAATGCTACTGATTTTCGCCCTTTTGAGACCAACTACAAATATAGGACCTTTAATGTAAGACCCGTTTTCCCTTTCCAATGCCAAGTGTAGATCCCCTGGTGATTGGTGTACACATTATTTGACATTGTGTGAAAATTTAAAAAGTGGTGGACGGGAAAGTTTTTTTTAGGGCAAAAATATATATATAAAAAAAAAAGAACTTTTCAATCATGTTTTGACACATGGAACAATGTAAAAAATAATGTCAAACAAAATGTACATGTAACATAATTGATTAAAAAGAAAATCATATAAAAGGGCAATACCACATGTACCGAATTTTTTATCAAATATTTTATCAACCACTCACAACAGCGGTGGGGACCACATGCCGACATATTTAAATTCACGTGGGGCTCACATACTTTATGAGAGGGGGACACCATTTGGTACATATGAATAATTCTTTCATTACTTGCATAATACCATTTGCATATATAGGTAACCAAAATACAAGTCTACAAATGTGCCCTTTCCATTCAGAGACATGTACAAATCACAACATTCATTTTAGGAAAAGAATATTTTAAAAAGTACATATTAACATTAGTATGGAGAAACTTTTTTTTTTTTTTTTTGGATTGAAATGAATGAAATTCTGCCATGTGTTCATCCGTGAGCAAATATCACTTGAGGGTTGTCTGGAAAAGAAATATCGAAATTTAAAGTCTCATACACGATCACGATGCAATTATTTTAGAAAAGTTGTGCTGGCAGTACGGACCTATTTCACAGGGATTGTACAGGCCATACACAAACAAGGGGGTGGAGGATTATTTTTTCACGTGGCCTGCACAGTCAGCATTAATGATTTTAGAAAGGTCATAGCCATTCATTCCTTCAAAAGAAATGAGTAACACAAGACGAGATACTTTTTCAATTGCAAATCCAAATAAAATTAAACTAATTTGAATATAAACACAATGACCCAAAATTTTCACAAAGAAATAAATATATTGTTATTGCTTAAATATATTAACATTTAAGTGACTATTAGCTATAAATCCTTTCGAATAAAAAGTGAATAGTAGTTGTGAATCTATAAAATATATGAATAAAAAGTATGTTGGTGTCATCAATTGAGATATTAATAAAATTTTAAATTTTTCTAAATTTTGGTGTGCTCAATTCATATTTTAATGGATTTTAATGAAATTTATTAAAAATTAGGTGTCCCAAATTGAGATTTTAATGCAATTCAATAAAATTCTTTAAAATTTAGGTATTCTCAATAATTAGTAATGTATAAAGATTTCAAACTTAAAAATACGCATCATCAAGTCATTTGATATTTCGTCATATTTGATGATATTCTTTATAGAACTATTTAAATCCATGAAATTTATTAGAATATGTAATGTTTTAAAATTTATCAAAATCTTAGTTGAGAACATCTCATGATTAAAATATATTCACATATAGGCCCCGTTTGGTAGGGATTTTTTGCCCTAAAAAATTGATTTTTTGACCGTTATTTTACTATTCAAGTCGTAATTTTTAATTTCTTCTCTCACATGTGGACCCCACTTTTCTTCTAACGGTCAAAAAATTAATTCTCAAAATCCCTACCAAACGGGCCCTAGTTGTCAAATTTCAGTTTTTAAATCGGACATATGGAATCTTATGCCCTTCACCTCTAGAGTTCACAACATAAAAGTGGATATATTTGCACCTTATCTTTTCATAAATACATCACATTTTAATTAAAATAAAGGTCATTAACTTTTATTTATTATCACACTTATATTATTAACTTTTTTCTTAATCACATTCTTATTTGTTATTTTTAACACTTTATTGATTGAAAAAAAATATTGTTAACGTGCTTTAAAATGAAAGTCAAATATTTATCACATTTTTCATTATTCTTTTGTTTTGCTTATTTGAAAATACAATGTATAAATGAGTCATTTTACTCTCTTTTAAATTTTATTATTATTATTTTTTTTTTTGAAAGAAACCACAATCGAAAATAATTTATGTTAGTTTGAGAATGAGAATGCAATGACAAAAGTTTGAGATATAAATATGATAATGTGTAAAAATTATGAAATTTTTATGCTGTTAAAATGTAATGTATTTATTTAAAACTATGGTGTAAATATATTTAGCCTAAAAATTATTTATCAACACATTTGACTAGAAATATTTCAAGCATTAGCGAAAAGGTAGGTCGAGTAGTCAAGATTCGAGGTGGCCTCACCCTTGTTGTTTTCAATTGTTCGGTTCTTCAAAAAAATAACTTCAAAATCGAATAAGAGCATGACCCGATCCGCAAGAATTATGGTATTGGATCTCTGTGTGGGCCTATCCAATCCGTTTAACGCCGGTGACCGGGTCGGATTTGAAACCAAAACAAGAAAATCTCATTAGAAATTCATAATTAAACGGAAAAAACTGCAAATCCCAATATTCTATTAATAGCAAAATTTCTTCTCGCCAATCTTTGCCTTTCTCGTCTCTCTCACTCTCTCTCTGACATTTTTCCCAACGTCCAACTTCATGGTAAACTGTAAACAGTAACCTACCTCCCCTTCTAAGCAGATTAAATCATACCCAAATATATATATATATAGACACTATATTGAGTGTATTTGGCATATAATATCTGTCAAGAGGTAACTCTCTCCCTCTCTCTCTCTCTGTGTCTCAATATATATGTGTGTGATGATACAGGGTTGTATTCTTAATATCAAAATTAAGATGGGTATTTCGGTTATTTGATTTTGACCGATTATTTTTATGTTTGTTGAGCTTGTTTCTTTGATTGGTGAAGAACTCAGAAGCATTCTTGGTTTTATTAGTCTAGCGAAAAAAGATTCCATATTTGTCCATAATTTGATTGGAAACAGTTTTTTATTAATTTTTAATGAAAATTGTTGCACTGGATCATAAATTACGATTTTGGAAGGAATATAATAGTTGATGTTTTATTAGTGAGTTTTGCTGTGTCTGTGTGTTGCTCCATTTTCGATTCTGAATTACAACTTCTGGCGCAATATATCTATTTATAGATCATATGAAAATGACATAATTTATTTGACAACTGATGAGCCATTTTTACATTTCGCCGAAAAGTAAAATGGGTTTTTTCTTCCTTTGTTTCAACAAGAAATGGTCTAGCAACTCCCTTATTCTTCCATGAGTAGTGGGAGTATTTTTCTTGGAGGATTCATTTCCCTTACTGATTCATTTTAGGTCAAAGGAAAGGTCAAAGGGAGAGTTTATAAAGAAATATTTCCTGCTTAAACAAACAGAGTCGAAGTTTTTAGAACATTTAACAAAAATCTAGTTCAACAGATTCAGAAGACTTCGAAAAATCTGTGGTCAGACAAATGTTCTTGTTCAAAAAATTTACAACCACTGAATGTGGGGAATTAGTTCTGTTTGCATTCTCCATTATCGCCTTATTTTGTGTTTTGTTGAAATATTACAATTCGATATCTTTGTTTTGTGAATGGAACTGTAAGTAATAATTTTGCAAACTGCCACAGAATTTGTGAAACTACATTTTATAATTTACGTTGAATATCTACACTGATTCCATTATTATTTTCCTTATTTTAGTGCACTTTTTATAGTTGCTTCTCTTCATTTGCTGATCCCATTTAGAAAGAAATAAGATCTAAGGCTTAATAAGGGTCCCAAATTGGCAAAAGTAGTTCCAAAAATCATCAGCTTAACGGCTCGCAAGATCACAGTCTAGTTCAGTTAGAAGAGAAGTAGTCAGCAGGTATGCTCTGTTTGAAGCCTTCGTGATAATGAATTTTTCTTTTATATAGCATTTTTATGAAAATCATTTTAGTTTTACAAATCCAGTTTCACCGGAGGTGGCTCTATCTGTGCTTTGACAAATGTGCATGTCTAGTGTGTATTTAAGTTGTCATCATTGTCAGTTAGGTTCAGATAATTGGCCATGCATAATATGATGGTCAAGTCGTTTCAAAGTATTTACAAGAAATGATTTTTTTTTTTTCAATTGTGTACTCTTTTTATGTCACTTTGTTTGCAGAATACCCTTTCTTAGTTTCCAGAAAACTCCATTCACACAGTGCAAACTTAAGAAAACAAGAAGTATGTTTTATTGAAATCTAAGTGCTTGTTTGATAATGCGTTTAAGTACTTAGTTGGGGGGAATATGTAAGTAATAAGTGAGTAGTAAGTTGTGGGACCTATGTGATTTGTGGATAAAGAGTATGTTTGACCAACTTGAATTATAATGTAAGATTTGACAAACATGCTCTAAAACCAGATCTTTGCTGTAGTAAACAAAGGAAGGTTACCCTTTACATTTACTTCACTGGTTGAAATTAGGCAACATTTTCAAGAGAAAGCTTATATATCCATCAAATTCTTCATCCGAATTTCATGGGCAACAGGGCAGACCCTATTTATTACCACCATGCTACATCAGCTAACAGCGATATTATTTTGACTGTTTGATTGTATGTGCATGAAATATCGTACGGGCTCACTGTCTCAAATCATAAAACCATATTCTTCAAACCACTTCCAGAAAGCACCACAAACATAAATGAAAAAAAAGAAGATAATAAATGCTCCAAGATGGTCTCTAAATTTCATTCAAGCCCAAATGATGAGTCGTGATTTAATTCCTTCCTTTTGACAATAACCTTGTTTTGGCGAAAGGTTAATTACAGAGATCCCTATGTGTATATATTCTTTGTTTACACTCACCTACCCACATACTATTTTCTGAAAATTCGTATGTTATGTGAATAGATCCCCTCTTAATTCATATCTTTGGAGTTGCGACACAATGTATCTGAAATGGAATCAAAATTTCAATTCTAGATTGGTGACCTATGGTGGAAATTAAGTTTCTTACATATATAAACATTCTATCTTAAATGAAATCAAAATTTCAATTCTAGATTGGTAACCTATGGTGGAAATTAAGTTTCCTACATATATTGCAATAAGGGCAACTGATAAACGTTCTGATTTTCCTTTTTCTTTTCTTTAATATCTTATGCAGTTCTGATATGTTTCCTGTCTGTTGAAATGCAGACTTGCTTTGATTATTTGTTGTTTCTCAAATGAAAATCTTAGTTGTTCATTCTTTTATTCTACTTGGTCACAGATCGTCTTTTGGATGAAGGCTTTGAACAGTAACGATCAGATTGATGCTGAAAGTTTGAAGTTGGAAGAAAATAGAGGGAGACCAGTGAAAAGCACAAACGTGAACATAATACACAACCAAGCCTTGTTGTCTGGCCTTGCGTATTGTATTTCTTCCTGTAGCATGATACTGGTTAACAAGTTTGTTCTCTCAAGTTATGACTTTAATGCCGGAATATCTTTAATGCTGTACCAGGTTACCTGCCATAAAAGATTCCTTATTTATTCACCATGAGAAATTGCAGTCTTTATTCATTTAAATAATTCTCTACGGTAAGCTAACAAATATTTGTTTACTGGTGCAGAATTTTGTTGCAGTAATTGTTGTTTCCACTTTGAGTTTCCTTGGCATAATTACAACGGAACCACTCACATGGAGATTAATAAAGGTCTGGTTGCCTGTTAATGTAATATTTGTTGGGATGCTGATCACTAGTATGTTCAGGTATGAAGTTTTCTTCATCTAGTTATCTTATTTCTCCCTATATTTCACCTTCATAATACTGAAGTATTATTGTTAATGATACTCAAGATTTAGTTCTGTTTTCTATTGGCTTATCCTTGCCTGATTTAATGCTTCTTTTTATTTGTTTCCACTAGGAATCCCATGTAAGAAGAAAATTTATTTTTATTTGTTTCCACTAGAAATCCCTTGTAAGAAGAAAATTTCCTACTATGTTCTCATTTCTTCCTTTGCCTAACAAATCGTCCAAATTCTTTGCAGTCTGAAGTACATTAATATTGCAATGGTTACAGTTCTGAAGAATGTAACCAATGTGATGACTGCTGTCGGTGAAATGTATCTTTTCAACAAGCGCCATGACAATAGAGTTTGGGCAGCACTTTTCCTAATGGTATGTCAAGTGGCTAAGAGTATGTTTTGTTCATTCAAATTAGTTACACTACTCTCAATCAAACCTTTATTAATTAAGCTATGTTCTGATTAATAAAGCTTAACAGTCCATTGATTCTATAAAGCTTTCTTGGCCAGCAGCACAAGTGTTGTGCTAAACAGCAGATCCATCTTGACTATCAAAGTTTAAATAGCAAACGCTAACTGATCATAATATAATCTTAATTAGTGCTTGTTTGGTAGTTCTTTTAAGTGCTTATAAATTGTGAATCATACTGAATATGTAGATAATAAATGTGCGGGTAAAAGTATTGTTGACATACATGCTTTTAATCACACTCAAATTCTCCAATTAAATAAAAATAATAACTTGGGATATGTTTGCTCATGTTTATTTGTTTTGTATAAAGATACATGTCATTTTTTATCCAAACATGTCGAGGGGCTAACAAGTACTATCACTTATCCACCACTCATTCTATTTATAATTTAAACCATTTATGAACACTTCCCAAACATGCTCTTAGTCAACCAGCATGTTAATAGCAGTTTTTTGGAATATTAGCTTTAACTGATCTTCTCGAATGACCTCCTTCATCACTGTGTAATGCAGATAATTTCAGCAATATCTGGAGGATTTACAGATCTCTCTTTTCATGCCATTGGATATGCATGGCAGTTTATTAATTGTTTGTTGACAGCATCATATTCTGTGAGTACTCGTGTTTCTCACATTGCTTCCTAATAATACAATGAATAATATGACAAATTTTCTTATTTTGACACTATCATCTTTTTGTGCGTTTGTAACTTTTGTGGTATTATTTAATAACAAGCAATTTTCATAGTGCCCTAATCTGTTACGTGATACAAAAGTAAAGATACCTCCATTCTTGCTTGCTTCCAAGTTCAGCTGAATCTCAATACATTTGGTATGAGAAGGGTTTGAAGACCATTAAAAGTTGAAATTACACTTGAAGGAGGAGAGAGTGAAGTAGGGAACACTGAGATCATGTCTAGCAATTTCAGGCTAGCTGTCGGACTGAATTGTTGATAAATGACATGGGATTAAAAATGATGGTTCCAGAGAATCGACTTGGGTTTAAGCCTTGGGGATCAGCGCCACAAGGTAAACAACCACCTCAAGTCCTCCCACAAAATCTCACTCAAAAGGTGCTCAGTTGGAATCCCATAGCTCCAACAAACCACAACTAGCAGTTTCTAGGACTATTTAGCTGATGGATTTTCATTGAGCGATAATACTTGCTAGTTGCTGCAATGGAATTTCATTGGGCGAGAAAGAAGATCCTTCAGGAAGCTAACTCTAAGCCCGCAGGAACAGCTTCTTGTTCATATTACATAATCTTCAATTAAATTGCTTTAAAGCATTTCAAGCAGATGTGTAGGCAATTTATACACCCATTTGATAATCCTATTTTTACACAGTAATTATGATACATTTGCTACATTTAAATGTACATTGTACAATGCTAAGCGAAGAAAAAGAAATTAATTTTTTGACCATTGTCCTATGCAATGTTGTTGTTTTTTGACCATTGTCCTATGCAGTGTTGTTGAGTACTGTGCTATAGACATGCTGCAAATGTCTTTTTGAAGGAACTAATAACCAAGAGGGATCATACACGAGGCTTTGCAAAAACCACAACGAGAAGTTTCTAGGACTATTTAGCTAATGGATTCTCTACACATTATTAACCATTTCTTCTTAATTAGTTGCCGATTAATCTTGAAATAGATACCATTTTCCTGTGATGCAGTTGACTTTGCGCAGGGTTATGGATACTGCTAAGCAAGTCACCATCTCTGGAGACCTGAATGAGTTTTCAATGGTCCTCCTAAACAATGCACTTTCACTGCCTCTTGGGATTTTGCTCGTTTTTGTATTCAATGAGGTTGATTATCTTTCAAGAACGTGAGTTTTGTTTTCCTTTTCATAATTTATGATTATTTACTGCCAATTCCTATATTTAAGCATAGATCATTTATTCAATTAATTTAAAGATACAATTATTTGCACCAGTATACTTCATGAAGATTCGATTCAACCTATTTAACAATCCTACGTATTTTCTCCGGATGTAGTAGTGCTAGATCCATGTGCTATGTTTTGCTTTAGTTGTTGATTTCTAATTAGGTCGAGCATAAGAACTTGTGTTGTGCATAGGTCGTGATCATACGTTTATTAAACTTTGTGTACTTATCTTGCCTATCGCAGACCACTTTTGAGATCGCCAACCTTCTGGCTGATATTGACGCTTAGTGGATTCTTGGGTTTAGCAATCAGTTTTTCTTCCATGTGGTTTCTTCATCAAACCGGGGCTACAACTTACAGGTGAGATTTCCGGTTTATCTGATTACATGCCTTCTCTATTCAAAATTTACTCATTTCCAAGCTTCGCCAAACAGGCTTGGATTTTGGACGATCCTTGAAATCCCCCTTTTAAGCTTCTATCTCTTTGATCATTATGTTTTCGAGTTTTTACTCGTGGATATGCTCTATACTCTTGCTAATTTTTGTTTCCTGCAGCCTCGTGGGATCGTTAAACAAGATACCTCTTTCTGTTGCTGGTATCCTTCTCTTTAAAGTCCCGACTAGCATGGAAAATTCTGCTAGTATCTTTTTTGGTAAATTTCTATAAATTTTGCGAACCTAATAGCATTGTTAGACTACGAATCTTCTGTTAACTTGACCCGCGTTTTGTAGGCTTGTTGGCAGGAGTGTTATTCGCAAGAGCAAAAATGCATGAAAGATCTTCATCTTGATGGACTTACTGTAACTTGCTCTGTAAATCAGTAGCTTTTTTGCCATTTTATTTGTGTATATTTCTCCTCTTTTATTCGAGAAAACATACTTTCTAATTTTTGGGTTCATTTTTGTAAGTGGGCAGATGGTGAATTTTTTTCCTCTATACCCACGAAGTTTATGTTCATGTTTGATGCACAATAGTGTAATACGATTAGATAATACAATAAATAAGATCTTAGTTTAATTTTATTCCTTGAGTTATCAATGGAAGTCATTAGTTATCCCCGTCTTGTGGATGCTAATATAAGTTGAACGTTATTCTCTAATATACTACCCCGAGGGACACGGGACAATGCGCAACATATTCATTTTAATTTTTTCTTGTGAATGATCTATTGTAAAAGCTAAGCGAATCAATCTAACAATTTAGCTCTATGTATAAGTAATCATTTTGTTAAGCATAAAGTTACCATGGTGGTCCCCTTCATATTGCTCTATAAGTAATCATTTTGTTAAGGGAAACATAAAGTTTAGATGTTGCTCCCCTTTATATTGATGGATGGGTAGAGGTATAAAAAGGATCGAGCTTCTTAAGCCGTCCATTCTATCTAGATGGAGATATTTTGTTGAATGTTGATGTTAGACCCTTTGTCCTATGTCACCATTTTTTTTTTTTTTTTTTTTTTTTTTTTTATGTAATGAATTCAAGAAGATTACTGTCTGTGATTTCTTCTCTAAAGAGAGAGATGGTGATTTGAGGATTTTGACAAGATGTGGGGAATTTTTTTTTAATTTTTTTTTTTGCCCCCTTTTCCTTTTTCCCCCCTTTTTTTTTTTTTTTTTTTTTTTAATTGTAGAAACGTAACTAAAAACTTTAGGGTAAATAGCACTTAGGTCACAAACCTTTTAAACAGTTAGATGATAAGTCTCGCACCTTTGATTTCTCGCAAGTTGGTCCCTAACATTTCAAACTTTTGCTTCATGGATCCTTTTTGAATGAAAAATGTGAAATTTGACGTTAAATAAACAGGAATTAGTCATGTGTCCCTAGCGCGAAGGGAAAAAAAATATCCAATATAGTTCATGCCATGTGTGGCCTATTACGTTACCTATTTATTAAATTAAAGAAGTCAAAATAAATAAATAAATAAATAAAAGATCAAGTACTTGTAACTCAGCTTGACTTGATTGAACTCAACTCGGAGCTCAAGCCGAGGTTATGGTACGTTATTATTATTATTATTTTTTTTTTGTGTTCAAAAGGAATAATGCTGAACAAATAGGGAAAATAAACAGGAAAAAAAAGGAAGAAATTACATAATACAAGGTCTTTAAAAATTACAATTAAAAAATCAGATATAAAGTTTTATTATTCACAAATTAGGTATTATATATAATTAATCAACCCAATTCAATTAAAAATCCTAATCATTTCACCCATTTTCAATCTCGTCTCCTCCTCTCTTCTCAACGTTGGCTTCTCTATACTCGACGTCGACGACCCATTCAAACACTGCAACGGCGACAAAGGAGATGCTTCGATGCCGACCCTAGCGTGGGGAGACGACATTGTGTTTTGCGTGGGGGAGGCGACGTTTGCAGCAACGAGAAGCTACAGTTCTAATTTGCACTTTTTGGGGAGGTTTTTTGGTTTTTTTGATCTGGCAACAGTTTTGGTTGGAGGTTCTGATGGGGTGTTCGATGGTGATGTGGTGGTCACATTGCAGTAGTTTCTCTGTGCAGCGTGGATGTTGGTGGTGTTGGTAACGTTGTGGGGTAATGGTGGTGAGGGGATCTGGTAGGACGACGGTGGTGGTGATGGTAGCGACAGTGCTCATGCTAGCAGTGGTATTGGTGAGGTTACGAGGTGGTGTATTATTGGGTGTGATTGGTAGTGATTTTGGCTATGGTTCTGGTTTTGGTCTTGGTGGCTGTAGTGGTTTTTGGTGGTGGTTGTGTTGGTCGTGGAGACTGTGGTGAGGTGGTGGGTTGAGTGTTGTTGTGTTTGGTGGTGGCAGTCGTGGTAATTTCTAGTGTGGGTATTTACTGTGGGTGTGGTGAGTCGTGAGCTGTGCATTGTTGTGAATTTGATTTTGTGGCGATTGTAGAGTAGTTTTGCTGGTGGTAGTGGTGTTGGCTTTGGCAGTGAGGTTGTAGTGGTGATTGTGATGCCAATTTTGGGCTACAGCAGTGGTGGTGAGGTTGCGATATTGTGGTGCAAGCAGCAACTACTGTTGGGAATCTATTTATATATGCACAGCGGAAAATTAATATTATTTCGATTCCCATTGAGAATTCCTTTGTGTTTAGAAATCGTGATAAAGATTGTACCTTTGAAGAATTCTGCAAACCTTTTGCTTTTCTTTTTCTTCTTGCAATATTGATTCGTCATCCACAGCTGTCCAATTGTCCAGCCTCCAACGGTGATCCACACAGAGAATAAGATTGCAGCTACCAGGATTTTCTCCTCTTGTCCTAGCAAGAATAATTATGAGAAAAATCATATGAATTGAAAACTCTAGCCATTATTTATATAAGCCCAAACGGGTCTGGTCTGATTCAATCCAATATTTAATTAATCCATTTAATTAAATTCGGTCCGTGAATTAATTAATCCAATTAATCAATTCGGGCCTATAACCAACCAACCCAATTAATTAATTCATCCAATGATTGTTAAATTAATTAATTAATAAATTGCAATCTTCCAATTCTCTTTTGTGTGTGACCCATCAGGCTCCCAATCACGATACCTAACGACATGAAATATTATTTTGATCTAATCAAAATTGATAAATTAAAACACCCTTTTAATTTATCACCAATTCACACTCGTCGTCCCAAATTGACATCTAGCAATGTGTCAGGGCAATACATGTGACGGGGAATGTCATGTGATATGACAAAACCAAACTCGTTCGTTTACCGTGAAACTAAAATCCTTCGCCCATATGATCCGATCAATTACGAGATATAGAGATGTGCCAATCTCGATTATCGATCATATCTTTCACTTCACTATTAAGTCAAAATAAGTCGAAAACTCTTTTTCGACTTATGAGTATACATTGACCAAGGATTTCATCATCGACTTAATTGAATGAAACGCAGATCATAATCTCCTATTATCTAAGAGTGACGAATCATTTATCGGTCAATCACAACCTTCATACGATTCTTGACGTACCCGAACGATGTCGTATTAGCGGCCCTTTGCAGAGCAACATCCAACACCGCCAAAATATAACAGTCCTCATATAAGGTACCATGAGGATCTCAAGTCAAAAGACTAATTTCAGTACCGAATGTTAGAGATTAACCACTGACACTCAGATTATCCATGTGGAATCTCTCGACGGGTCTCCAATGTTTTGGTCTATAACAGAACATCCACGTGTTCATTTATGTGTCACCACACTTTAGATTGTGAGATCAGCTACTTACTTCACAAGTAAGAAATATCACACGTGATGGTCTATCCGTAATAACGATATCCGTATCTCGTTACTACTTATGACCACGAACAATTTAAAATTCAATCATATATAATTTGTTTCTCACAATCACAACTCCTTGTGATTAACAAATTGCAAAGATTTGAATTTACGGACTCTATTATTTATTTAATTGTCTATTAATTAAATAATAGATCTGACATTAAATTGCATTAATTATATATCAAAATTATTTATGTCCAAAGTTGATTGGACCTAGGGCATAATACTTACAATGTGGTGGTGATTTGTGACAAATATTAGTGTTGAATCGGAATCAGTGGTGGGGTGTTTGGTGCATGTGACCAAACTATTTGAACTAATTATTAATCTATGACCTTAAAATTCGATAATCTATGACCAATAAATTTAAAAATATGTACCCATAGATAAACTGTGACTTGTAATTTGAATGATTTGTGACATCAAAATAATCTGTAATCTACAAAATTTTGATTTGTGACCATAAAATAATTTGGGACTAATTAATTTGATGATATGTGATCAGTAAATAAATCTATGACCTATAATTATGAATCTGTAAACATTAATCGTATAGCTGTAACGTAATTATATTTATTTAATAAATATTTTTAATTAATTAAATGTATATCTGAATTTTGAATTTGCAAACCATCTACTTAATTTTTGAATTAATGTAAATAATATACCAGGATCATGAATTTTTCCCAAAAAAAACAGACAGATATTGTTTGGAAATAAAAGTCTATCACTTGCTCACTGGCTATGTAGTATGATTGGTTCGAAAGAGCCCAACCTTGGGCCGACTCGACCGCTATTTTGCCCTAGAATTTTGCAATTGCGACTACATAAATCGTGTAACGTTGAATGCGCGTAAGCATCGGAAGACTGCAGGAGAAACTGGAGAGAAGTGCCAACCCAATTATCAGATTTCAATTGTTACTGCACCGTTTCTTCTTCTTTTTTGATATTCTCCCTACAGAATTTCTAATTATATTATTGTAGCAGCAATTCCGATGGATGAATCTGAATTTCGACGCTGTCTCGAGCTCTTTCCTGTCGTCCGATCTCGCGATTATCACGTAAGCCTCCAAACCCTACTGACATATATATGTGCATTTTTATTTATTAATTTTGTACGCCTAAGATTGTTTTCCGGAAATTTTGATTTTAGGGTTTTAGTTATCTGTTTTTATTTGGTTTACATATTGTGTTCTTGCAGTACCCATTTGTATTTTTCTCACATTCTGTATTACTTTTGGTTCTTTCGATGGTTGATTTCGATAGGTTTGGTTCAAGTCATTTGGCTTAAAATAGCACCCCTAAAGAGGAGGAAAAAAAAGAAAAAAAAAAGAAAAAAAGAAACCATATTTAGCAGGCCTTAGGTTAATAAACCATTACATTTAAATGACGAAGTGAGTTCTCATGAAAATGAAAACTTGGTTTTATGGTCCCCAGTTCAAGATAGAGGCGGTCATATGAGATTTTCTGCAAATCTTGTTTGCCCAAGATTGTTTTAGAGCATATATATGCATAGAACATCTTGGAGAGATGTAGATTAATGCTGTTTAAAATGAAAAAATAAATAAATAAAATTTAGAGCATATATTTTATTGCTAAATCAATTAATTTAGCAAAGCATGTTTTGGACCTTTATTTAGAATGCTTTTGCTTATGAGGGATTCATGCCCCAATTATGTGATAATGACAAGTTATTGGAGGACTGTACGGGCCTATCCTAGAGTACATGGCTTGCTGTGGATAAGTGTTCCCCCTCATTATCTTTGTCAATACCTTTTGGGATTCTAAATGTTAATTTTCCAGTTGTATTTCAGATGGACTCGGATTCTTTGAGACAATCAACATCTGGGTCTGCAAAAACTGAGGGGCATGATGCACGGGATAGTGGGGATAAAAGAGGTACAAAGCCAATTCAATCTTGACCTTTTGTCATTTTGAGATGAACATTTGAAAACACGAAACAAACCTGTTAAGATGATACATATATGCTCGCATCTTTTCTCTCTTGAATGTTTTGAACATCTCAAAGAAGAAACATACCTGTGGAAAGTTGTCTTTGTTAAGTTTTCTAAGGCTTCTGATATAACTTGGAGATTTTAACTGTATCTATTTTAATTAGTTATATGATACTGTATTTTCCTGTTTATCTCCCCTCTTTTGAGTACTTCACTTACTGTAGTGTTGATTCCACTTTAATCAATACTTATTTAATCTTTCGCTTAAATACCTTCAGCTATAGCTAATAACTGGATGGAGTGAACTATCTATGATGCTTTTCTCCATTTATTTAAGTCATTTCTTGGAACCAATGTAAATTCTGGGGAAAAAAAATTGGGGCCAGATAAGTTTTCTATGCAGTGTCATTTTCATTGCTGTTCAATTGGATTTTTCTTTTTTGTAATGAAAATCATATTTTACGCTGATGTATGGGATGGGACAGAAGCATTCTGGAACAAACTAAAGTTGGCTGCCACAGAGAAGGTATGTTTTCATCGTTTGTGTATTATAAGAACTGTTCTTCATAATAAATGACACAAAATTCTTCACTATCTTGTTTATTAGAAATTGATGAGCTTTCTTTAAGTATTTTTAGATTTATGGTCTATATTCTGAAGCAATTTTGAATTTTATGTTTATGATGTCACATTTTTCTCTGTGGTTCATGTAGCAGATTGCATCCATTGTTTTAATTTAATTGCATCTTCATTCGAATGCAAGCTTGCCTTTTCGCTTTCTGAAAATCCTTTTATTTCATGATTGCCTTGAAAGCATATCTACCGGGTTGTTTGAGCTTGCATTAGACTTATTGGATAACTGTCGAAAGATTTCCACTACGAGCTTGCTTGGCGAGGCTTAATTTTCTTTTCTTTTTTTACTTATTTTAAATAAGTTATAAAGTATTAATTGTAGGTCAAAGTTACAATTAAGTTGCAAATATTGACAATAACATAACTAGTTTCAGAATAAGTAACTTCTCTACTTATTTTCTAGTGAGCTGTGATTTATTGCTGCCTCTATCAACATGAAGTTTAGGTGGTTTTCGTTTGATTTGCGTGTAGGGTAAATCAACCGTTTACCACTTCTCGCAAAAGCAGTAGAATTCTAAATAATATGGGAAATGGCAAAATAACTTGTTATGCGTGCCTTGTTTTCAGATGGGTCCAACTGAAGCAGAAAGATTTTGCAAGGCATTTCAACAGGTTTATAATAAACTTGTAAGTATACTTAATCGATACATTTCTTTGCTTGGTAAGTAGCCATTTCAATCACATTTCTGTTTCTTTAATTCATCCTTTTAATTATCCATTTCTCTTGCTGTGATCCAGGTGTATGAAGAACTGACATTAGATGCTGCTCGGAAATTCATAAACTCTTCAGGATTTTCTGGAAAATAGTTGCTATTTGCCAATACTTTTATGTATGTTGCAACTGGACTTGTTTTGAACCATGAAATAGTGATTTTGAGTTGCTCGGCATAATTATTTTGAAATCTTGCCCTCTGTTTGAATGATTATTTGGTGTTCATTGGTGTGTTTTTCCCCCAGTAAAAGAATGTTATGTTTATGATATAATTTGTTTTATGCACTTATTTCTCCTATTTTTGGGTTTTCTAATAGATATTTTTTGCTTTTTTGCACTGTGTGCTTGTTTCAAGTAGATTTTTAAGAATAGATTTTGTGAAAGATGATTGTTCATGGAGAATATATGGTTGAAACGTAGGAAAATTTTATGGATTTACGTATAAAATTATTTTATTGAGAGAACGTGGTTGAAATGAGTTTTGAAGAATCTTATCAAATATAGGCTATCTTTTATGCAGGGATTGAAAATAAATAAGGTGAATGATGATTCAAGGGTTGATCATCGAAGTTGGGGCAACAACGATGAAGGAATTTGAGTGGTGATAATAGCTAACAATTCCCTCCATTGTCGATTCATTAGGATCATAACCTTCCACCCATCTTTATTCTTTTAGCGTTTTTTTTTTTTTTTTTTTTAAATTTTTTTCTTTTTTTTTTAAAAAATTTTTTTTTTTTCCCTTTTTTTGGAAAAGGCAACAGAAATAAAATTTTATTCTAGATAAATTTTTTTTTTTTTTTTTTTTTTTTTTTTTTCCATTTGGAGCATGTTTGATTCCCATTTTTTTCGAAGTATATTTTTCTCCATCTTCTTTTCAACCACATTGTTTCTAAATTGAAATTTGTCTCATGCAGATAAACTCAACCACAGTCGAGCACTAAACAATATTGAAGAAAATAAACTTTTTCATAATTATACTGTCTAGTAATAATTTTTCTCTAGCCACTGTAAACCAGAAAAAAACTTGTTATCAAGAAGCGAGTTCTGCCTAAACAAATTGTGGGAATTTCTTATTATAACATTGCGAAATGGATTACAATATTTATCACCAGAAATAATCGGAAAATCCCTTTGAATTATATTCTTCCACGGGAGAGAAAAATCCCACGAAAGACAACAAAATACACAAAAGAATGAAGAACCTGAACCTTTACATCATTTTTAATCAGTCCACAGAAGAGAGTGACTCTTATTTTCTTCGTTATAGAAGTAAAACAACTAATTTTATTCCTGCATGTCATCTTCAGTTTTCCAAACTCCTCGAGGCTCGTCGAAAGTTTTTTATAGAACTGCATACCCGAAATTCAGAAACAAAAGGGTACCAGCAAAAGTTGGAATTGCTAATCAGAGATGATGACATTTTCTGTTTGTGGATGTTGAAAGAACACTATACTAAAATCGAGGCATCGAGGCATTCTTATATCATGATGAGCAGTCGAGCACCATGAAAAAGATATCAATGCATTCCAAGTTTGTAAGACCAAGGAAAGATGAGATCATCACCCACACGAGCATGTCTTCTCGAGGTTCCAAAAACTTGGACATCTTCGTTGATATTTTGAAGAATTGTTCTGCCCTAGCTAGTTTAGTCCCTAGACGCCAACTTAGCAGAATATCATCCATCTCCGCACCAGAAGCCATGGTAAGATGAGGTGTGGGTGGGAGCGGGGGACAAGTAGTTCTCTAAATATTTTTTAATTTTGCAAAGTGGACTTGCTTAAGCCAAATTTTCTCATTCAAATCCTTCCAGTCACCGTCGGGGAATCCTCTTCAAATTCTCTTGTCTAATGGAACCAAGATTGATCATAAAAATCCATAATAAACTCTATGTTTAGGTCATTCTCTAGTAGGAAGTGGCAAACTGTGAAAGATATGCTCATACAAGGAAAGCTTTAGTTAAGACAATCACTCAGAAAGGAAATATATCAGAAACCTGTTTCTATTCTTCGCTAAATCAGTTCCAAACTTCAGCTCAATGCCAACTCATTTTCTTCTACTCTTTGAATTTCTAAAGCATATTGCTCCGATTTATTCTACTGAGCAAAATATATTGAAGAAGAGATGCACCACAGATAACAGGCTAGCACGCCCAGCATTTTTTTGGCATCTCCATATTCACACAAATGACAATTCATTATAAAATTTATCCAAAAGATAAATGATAAAACAAAATCAAAGCAGACTTGGATACCTTGTGGAACTCGAGAGTGTCTCCCTTTGCCTTTCTAACCTCAACCATATGCAGAGAAGGTGCAACTTGGAAAACCTGATTCAAGCACATTGCACAATGTGAAATTGTTGCAAATCTTGTAGCTACAATTGAACTCGAACACATGAGATGATCGGCATTCATGGTACCTCAGTGACAATATTAAGGTTTCCTTTTCTTCCAGCTTTCACATTTTCTAGCCTCATCTGGGATCAATTAGGGTGCAGACAACATTTTGTTAGTTTTTTTTTTATGTTTGCCACTTTCAAATCCTTACTGAGGTAGATATTGCATTATCTATTTTTATAATGACAGTTACAAAAAGCTCTAAAAAAAATTGAATACCTTGTAGCTCTTCTTTCGAACATCAAAACCAAGAGGCTCAGCAGCTTCTTCAATTTTACTGACTATCTCATTTGCTAGGCATCTAGATGAGAACCTCGTTTCCCTCTTGAATTGCTTTATCCAAATGGAGTGGGAAACAACAGATAATTAAGGGACACATCTTTTATAGTATATACATGAGAAATTCCCTAAGCCAGATTATAAATTATTATTTCCTTATCAACAGCTTAAGGTGTGCGGATATGCTTTATGCTGATTATGGCCCGATTCTCAAAGATGTCGCAGAAATTGCAGAGCAATCGATTATTCAGGTTATAGGAAACCTAGTTAACATAGAGTATATGCTGGGTTATTCTATAGAAATCTCAATTTGTAAGTGACAAAGTCCATTACACAGATTGTATATGAAATTCCAACAGTGTGCTTCTTCTTCTAATGTGGGACCGGAATACCGTCTTTCAGATTAACATGGCAACAAAAACTCCGTCGTGATAAAGGAATATATAGGACGTGTTGAAATTCAAATTAGCAGTTTTAATCCGTTGAATGTTGGATAAGTTTCATCAGCATAACCAATGTGCTTTGCCCCTGATTTCAAAACATTTTTTCTACATACTTGGGAACATATTTTCTTTATCTTTTTTAGATTTTTAATGTTTTTGCGGTCGGATGATTTGAAATGTGTATAATGAAAATGCTATCCATTTCGGGCAGTTTGAGAATTGAAGGTTGTACGCTGGTATTGATCTTGATGATTCGTTATTAGTGGTTGACAGCATGCTCATAATTTCTCAAATTTATTCCCTCGAATCATAGTAGAACATTTTCATAGAAGCAACAGGTGCAATCAAATGAAATAATATTTTGTTGTTTGGTAGAAAGTCACGGAACCAATTGTGGGAATGCCCAAAAAAGAAATGACGTCTACATTGTGGCGATGGATTTCGTACGGCCAAGAAAACTCCTTACAAGATGACGGTTGGTCCAGTGGTGTTAGCGGCGAACGTGAATCAAGATGTAATTGTTTGGGGACATCTAATCCTAAGCATACAATTGAAGAAAGGAAGGTATAGAAGAAGAGGACGTGGAGATATTCCTCAATATAGCCATCCGTTAAGGAAAAGGAGATACGGAAGAGAATGGAAAACGAAAGGAAAGGGATTCGTAATGTATTCACCTATGTAATTGATTAAAAGTCTTGGGATTTAATTTCATGTTAATTTACTAGGAACAATCTTCATTGAATGTCTGCATTAGTTTGGTTGAGAATGTTCTTTGGATGTTGCTGTTCTTCGAATTGTCTAGATGGTGGTGGTTTAAATTTTGCAACTTCTTTCACTTCCTGAGTAATGAATATTGTATGAGTGATGAATATGCTTCTACATGCTGCACCATTTGTCACTTCCTGTTTTTTCTAAAGTTCAATGAGTTTACTTCAATATTCTTTTTCTCTGCAAGTGCCTTCTCTAATATGCTAGAAAAAGCTTTGTTACTCGATCATAGATCAATTTTCCCTTTTCCCAATTTCTCCTTACAGTTCCTCAAATCTCATAGGTTATCTTCTTTTATTTTTAGTTCAACTTTAACCTGTACCAATGTAGTTGTCCATGTTAAACTGAAAACAAATAAACTAATTACTAGTTTCATTAATGTTAAGGTATATTTACCACTGTAAACTATAATGTTTCTTTGAATAGGGAACATGGAACAAAGGAAAAACTAGTTAATATAGCCAAGAAGAACCCAGTTAACATAGCCAAAAAAAGAAGAAGCCATGTTTTAATACAGAGTACAAGTAAAGACCACAAGATTATACAATAACAGCAAAGACCACAAGATTATACAATAACAGCAGCAGTCATGCTTTGTGAAAAATGATTGTTCATGGAGAGAGTTAACATCCACGTATACATTCCATCATCCATCATCCACATAGGCACGAGTTAGAAACGGAAGTTATCCAGTGTGTAATAGAGTGCAAATGCATAAAGTTCAACGAGTAATGGGGTGCAATTTTAAGTTCGATGAGTAAAACGTGACCACACTCAAAGTTCGGTATGTATTCAAACATTTGACTCAAGTTTGTGTGGACATAATTACACAGTACAGACAACCATCTAAAGAAATTGCTAGTTCCTACATAACGCAAGGCAGTGACAACAATTGCATGTCCGAATTTATGCTGAGGTGCATTGGTCAAGGGATAATTGGATATAAACAAATTCTATATATGTGTGTGTTTTATAATTATTCATTTTCTATTCTCTCAAATTAATTTTTGAAAATACATATGTTTTTTCCTTTTTTGTCTTCCTTTTGCCACAGTTTTGTATTTGTGAATGTTCTTTATGTATATTTATGTTTATGATATGGTAAATTAAACAAAATTAAGGAAAAAGAAGAAAGAAAATCGATAGATTTATTTTTTCCTATCTAGTTGAGTTTAGTTAATCGATTTCTTTTTGTCTAGTGAATGCATTCTTGTTAGGAGGTCAGAAATTGTAGACTTTTTTTCTAATGAATAAATTATGTTTAGAATTGAGATTTGTTATTGATAAGTGTATTTTCTACACTTATTCGGTGCTCTAAACTATATAATTTTATTGTTCTTTTGGCAAAATATAATCTAAATTTTATTGTATTAATTTTCTTAGGTAAAGCTCGTGCTTGGACGAAGAAGGAAAGGAAAGAAGCAAAAATTGGCGAAAAGTGAATTGGGCGCTTGTGGGCCATTTTAATTATCGGGGGTCATTTTAAATGCTTCTCCAAACTTCAGGGACCAAAGCTGAAAATTTCCTAGGTTTTACTATTAAAAACCATGCAGATTAGTTTTCATAAAGGGGGGAGAAAAAAAGAAAACCTAGAGAGCGGAGGGAATTAAAAAAACTGCCGACAGGAGAGTCAAAGAAGTTGCGGCTGCTGGAGGAGATTGTGGGGGCTGATTTATATATATTTTACACACCAATTAGAGGGGAAGAGAGGTGAGATATATACACAAGAAGTCGCTGGCCAGAATTCACAAAAAAAAAAGGCTGCTTGGGGGGAGAAAAAAAACGGCTACTGCTGACTAATATACATACAAACCTACAGCAAGAAGAGAAATTGGCTGCTGGGATATATACATAAACTTGGGCAGTGGCAGATACACATCACACGGCTGAGGGAGGAAAGTTTACCTAGAGAAACTACTACGGCGAGGAGGAAGAAAAAAAGGGGCAGCCTTGTGATTTAATTCATATACATACATACCCACAGAAAGAGGCAGAGAAGGGAGGAGAATTAATGGTAAATTGATTGAAATATATATATATAAAGTTGGTGGCAGCAAGTGGATTGAAAAAAAAAAAAAGACAGAATTTTCAAGTCCATTTATTGGATTCAAACAAAGGGTTGTCGGCTGCTACATATATATTTTGATAAACAGAAAGTTGGAAGCTGATCCTGTGACTCGAGAAATCAAAATACACGTGCAAAAGTCAAGCAAATTCGTGGAGTCAATCATGTCCTGTCGAGTTTTGGTGATTTCTTTCCACTTTTCTTTGTTTAATTCCAACAGTATGCTAGGCTAATTTTTCTCCTGTATTGGATGGATGACAAAGTTGTTTTATTTTTAGTTCTAATTTGAGACACGTGTTTTTATTTTAAATATCGTGTTGTGATTCCATTAATATGCTTATTTATATTGTTCTAATATTAGCGCACCATTAGGATAATAAGTTGCTTATTCGTAGTGTTGGAAAACTCACGATAGGTAGAACACTATTATTGGGACACACGCGCAATAAACATTAGGAATAATATTTGTGGCGTGTGCGATCTTATATGATAATCCTAAATGTCAATGCATGTTTACCATATGAATTCGAACTAGGAATAGGATCGTCTCGTGGTAAACATAGGTTTATTATATCTTGGAAAAGAATAATAAATAATTGTGGAATTATCGATCGTCGCAATTGCATAAATTGAGATAATTAACACTAGTTGAGAATTAGAACTAAGCGTTACTCAATGGCGTCTGAAATCCAATACATTCTCATATTCGAGTTTTAAATCAACCTCCATTACTTTTATAAATTTTAGTTTTAAAAATCCGTTAACTATTCATTCGATAGTTTTAGTCACAAACACGAATTCAAATTTATCAAATATCCTAGAATTAATCCTTATTCCCTGTGGGACGATACTTTACTTATCACAATTATTACTTGTCAACGAACCCGTACGCTTGCGGGAATTCACTCGAACAGTTATATGTATTTGGCAGCACCATTAAATGACATTAATTGATGAATTGATTTTTATTTTTTTTAAATAAACATTTTATCATGTGACATACGGTGCGAAAGTGAAATGAATAAACTTTTTACACAACATTTTAGAGCATCTCTAAAGGATTTTCTATTTTTTAAAATCATATTCTATCATTTGGAAAGCAACTATAAATTTAGAGAGTTAAAATTTTGAAATATTTCAACAAGTTCTTTATATTTAACACTAATTTTGTTACTCCCAAAAAATTTAGGCCATGTTTAATTCAAATTCTTTCAAAAAATACATTCTTAAACAGTGATTTGATATATTTTCAATCCACATTCTTCAATAAAATAATATTATCTGCAAATTCAAAATTTTTCGTTATTTTTTAGCCACTCATTTTTCATCAATACACTATTTAAAAATTTATTCTTATAAAAATAATGTGGCTCAAACAAGGGCTTACTTTTTTCTCTATATTCTATTTTAAGTAGTTTTACTATAGATTATTTTCTTATATTGAAATTTGAAATACTTTGAATGCATTTAATTATAAAGAATGAAAATTTAGAGAGCTAAACTCACTCTTTAAATTAAAATGTTAGTTGTAAGAGTATCTTGGACATGATGTTAAGAGTTGACTATTTAAAATAAAGACTATCTCTTGTTTAAACAGTGAGATGTATTCCACACACAAATTTTTTAGATGCAAAAAATGTTAGAACAAATTCAGAATAATATGTTTTGTTAAATTCAAAAAGAACATAATAAGTAATTAAAACTGCATAAATAACAGTGGCTAAAAGAAAACGGATTTGCAAATCGAGGCCTATGTAAACATAGTTTTCTTAAAAAAGATTTGTCATCTCATCGTAGGTACTTGAGATTTCATTTTAAGTTTTTGTCTCCTAGGATATAACGAAAAATTAGTAGAGTCTGAGTATTACAACTTCTACAAGGACGAACTGATTATATATTTGTACATGGCCGTCAAGACTTAGACAAAACTAAAAAAATTTCAAAACTGAAAATAATATGCAAAAGGAATTTCGTAGTCTAGAATGAAGGACAATTGAATGTACAAGTACGAAATTTTCGTGGGCCTAGAATGAAGGACAACTGAATGTATAAGT